AGCGGTCTAAAATGGCACACTATAACAACAGACCAAGAGCAGTGTTGAGTTAACCACAGCCATTTTGTATTATTGTTACCAGTTAAACAGCAAGCATTCCCAGGCCACCCACGCCGTCATGAGACGATGACACCTTGCGTCCTCACGCCTCCCAATAAAACGCGAGGTAGGGACGACTGCGCGACAAGAGCTAATTGTCGGACCCCTTCTCCTCCCCCCTCTCCCTCGCTGGTCCCTAATCATGACTGGAATCATACCCTTTGATCCCTTAACACCTCTTACCTACTTACTACTGATTGGTTGCTTAAACGTTTGTTAACTTTACCCTCTCTGTATTAGCCGGATGATGAATTAATTGAAAACGTTCGTTCCGCTAACTTGAATTCCTCAAACATATTACATAGCAGTTAACCGCGGCGCAGTCAGCAACTTACTCAAGAACCGAGCCGTTGCAGAGCCAGTTTGGTTGGGTTTGCCCACACGATCTGAGAGTTGCATGCATGTTCTGAGAGCCCGACGCCTAGGGGTTATATTGACTACTAACGCGACCGAATTGTCGGTCGGCAGATACCCCTGGGTCCTCATTCATGCCATAATTCGCTAATTAGCTGTGACTCTAAGGTGATATACCACACGCAAAATTCTATGGTGGCTCAGTTTGGAATTCCTTTCTTAACTGGGAAAGCATAAGGCTTTTGTAATTTTTATAAATATCACCTGTAAATAAGAAACGCCAGCTCATCGTTAATTTGCACAACATTACATAAAATAGAATTTAAATGATGAAAAACAAGATACCAATTAGACGGTAAGGTCCAGAGGGTATTAACGCCTCCTAAGTAAGACCGTTATTTCTTCCGTTTAACATGTAAACTGTGAAGGCGACCAGTTTTTAAATCGTACGTTTTAATTTCTAACACAAACTCTTAGTTTCGGGCTGGGACGTATGCTATCTATGGTACAGAGGTTTTTGACATTTTGAACCCTCAAACTACGCAGTAAAAACCATCATGACTAAGGATCCATTTTTTAGAGAAAACAACACTAGGAAAATGGTTGTTGGAGTGTCTTAAGTATCATTTGGCAGTTCAACGAATGGAATGTGCGTCTGCTCGTCTGCTCTACTAAAGGGTAGTTAACTCCGATGATGGGAAAAACTCTTCTGCGTGTTTTTAGGACGGCGATCAGTCGGTCCATCCAAAAACGGAAGAATATTAATTTGAAGTCTGTCGACTCGTTTAACTAGCTCAGACATCAGACATCACTTTTGAATAAGACAAAATATTGTGTCAACAAACGTGATCAAACGCAGATTTGTATTTCTTATACCTTGCGTAAGCACTCAGACCTCCTGCCCCGAAAGTAATTGGCAGTTAAATTCGTTGATAAACGTTCGCTGAACGCTAACGGAACTCCTTAGTCCCACTATGCCTTGGGCCTCACTGTTGGGGCCATGGCAGCAGCCACAGAAACTAGTAGTATAGGCAGATAGTATTGCCGGCAAAGATTAGGGAGACTGGAATGGTCATTTCTGGCTTATAAGCCGCCGTCATCCAGCCATATCCGAGCCCAGGTGAGGCACAACTCGAGGCTCGAACTCATGGCCTTTTGATCAGAGTCTAAAACCCTAACTGGCTGACGACGGCTAAAAAGCGAGGAACGGCCATTCCAGTTTCCCTAGTCTTTGCCGGCAATACTATCTGCCTTTGCTACTAGCTGTTACATCTGTCGTCAGGGCCCGAAAAATGAAGCTCAAGGCAATTGCGGAGCGTGATAAACGTGATCCGTTGGCGGTCAGTTAACGTTCATCACCGAGTGTCAAAATCTTCCGACCTAAACCGGCCAGAAAAAGAGCTCGCGGCTCA